TAGGCATCGTAGGTAGATCGATATGCCCACCGGAGCGGATAGAACCCGAGCATCCTCCGGGATCGTAAGAATGACTGTTCTCTTACGGTCGGGGTCCACGCTCGGGATGGGAAACTACTTCACTAGTTTTGGGCTCAAACTCGGCCCGCCAGCTCTTAAGGGCACGTCCTTCTTCGGGATCTCCAGGTCGCCCAGCCCGGAAAAATCTTCCAATATGGACATGTCCATGCCATCGAAGAAGGAGTGGAGAGGGTCATCTGCACCCTGAACTCCTTCGCTTGACTTTTCCTTACCCGCTTGGGCCTCTTCAAGCATGGACTCAGTATAGGAGGACGTCTCGATGATATCGATCACACCGGTCGCATCCTTCAGTACAAGAACGGTTTCTTGGGAGGTCATATCATCCATCTCCACTTCGACCTCTCGAATCAGAAGAGGATCGGCCTCGTGGCCCCTTCCATTGGTCGTCGCCTGCTCCCCGGCAGGGGTCGATCTATGGGCGACGAAGATGTCGTCTTCTTCGAACTCATCCCTGAGCCGGTGAAGGAAGACAGAGTCCGGTACCCTGGACTTAGTATTCTTCTTGGGCTTACGAGCTCGGGTAGTCGCCCTCTTTTTTTATCTTTGCCTCGGGATCCGGAGAGCCCGTGGACTTTCTTCTCCTCTTCTTCTCCCCCACTGCAGCCCCTGGCTGTCCCGAAACGGAGGGATTGACGGGTAAGGATGCATCCTCATCCCCATTCAGCGACCTAAGTTCGGTGGTCTTAGACAAACCTACGAAGGAAAGAAGGGGGGGGGGGTCAGCATTATATAAGTTTGGGGCGTAGTAATAACTATCTAGGGGAGAGCCTTACCATGAGAACATGCCTTCCATATGCCATTCGAAAGTTTGCGCCACGCGCGCTCGTAGTATGACATCTACTTGTAGATTTCTTCGATCCACTCCTTATGCCAGGGGACTGCATAGGGAACTCGGGCGGCAGCTACACGACCATAAATACTGGCGATAAAAGAAAAAATAAAGGGGAATTAACACTTAAGGAAAGACTACACTTACGAGATGCATTCCACTTCTCATGGAATGGCAGGAACTCGGGAGGGATCAGATCTTCAATTTTTACTCGAACAAAACGCCCCTACCAACCTCGGTTTCGATCCTCGTCGATGCTCGGAAAGTGAGTCTTTCTGGCTCGGCGAACAAGCTTGAACAATTGTAGGCAACAGATAGAGGGCCGTGATATCCGGAACCAACCGTTTATCATGGCGCGGATCTCGCTCGATGGCGGTTGCAGATCAGTAATTAACAAGAGAGGAGAATTTTTACCTTTTTTAGACTTGTACTAGTGGTGAAACTCCACACTATATAGAGGGAAAGTTTTTCTTTGATAACACATTATTGTAACACACACATCAAGTCAATACAAATTCATTTCTCTGCTTTCAAGTTATTAAAAAGTTCTTATTTTATTGTTCTTCTTCATATATATCTGGCTCCGAACCAAGGGTCCAATCGAGGGCAAAATCACTGTTCAACTCAAATTCGAGCTCGGTCGTAACATCACAGTTGGTTTGGTTATTAATTCTATATTTAACTCGTTCATCTATCATTCTTGATTATTTGTGTTGAATTAATTCACATATTCTTAAAATCGCATATAAATTCAATTGTTATCCGCCGTAAGCGTAAACAGTAAAACAAAAAAAAAGTTTGGGAATCTTTGGTCTATTCTCTCTCTCTCTGCTTTGAAGCAACAGTAGATATGAAGTCTTGAAGTGATGGCATGTTTTTCATATGTTTTTTTTTTAAAAATAACTTTTTATATCTTCTTTTTTCCAAGTTTGGGTCCCAACCCAAGAACGTCAATACTTTTATTCAACACCATTTATTCTTCCCTGTTTCATTTCTGCTAATACTTTTTTCAGCCTGCGATGCTTTTGGCTTTTAAATGAGGCACACAATGAGGTAATCATAATCCTTGACTATGCCACATAATAATTGCTTAACAACCTCATCATCATTAAGATAATAATCCAGTTCTAATCAAAGTGACCCGTTTTAAATTTTTACTATTTCTTTTGTTAAATTAAAAAGCACCTTTAACTTAGCAGCTTTGTATTGGGCAGAAAAATTGAAACAGCCATCAACTTATGATGGGAATGTTGGATAAAATGTTGTACTTTTGGGTCGCATAAGTCAGCAACAACATTGAGTTATGTTGGGCGGCTCTCTCTCTCTCTCTCAAATTTGTCACAATAGAAATTTGGGAAGTTTTTCAAAGTCCAAGAGCTGTTGGAATGCTTTGTGCAACTCGGTTCAAGTATTTGACGATCTTGCTGAAAACAATTTTGATACTCATAAATCATAGTGATCCCGACAATATTGTCTAGGGGTGAGTCACACTAAAGTTACAACTTCAACCGAATTTAAAATTTCGATTCAAACTTTATATTTCTATATGAGAATTGTAAAAATAATTTATTCGAATTTAGTAAATAAGTTCAAAATTCATAAACTTCTGCCTTTATTATTGTCGTTATGCCTAGGGGTATATAAACCGAACCGAAAAACCGCACCAAGCCGAAAAGTCAAATCAAACCGATTAAAAAACTGGATTAAGTTTGGTTTGATTTGGTTTGGTATTGAGTAAAAAAAACCTGAACTAAACCGATATATAAATATATAATTTTATATATATGCTTTTAAGACTTTTTTATAGAATTTTCTTTAAACAATGTCAAGAAATATTTGCGATTCTCTTATGGGATGTAATATTTAATTAAATATGAAGTGCTCCATATTTATTAACTTTAAATAATGGGTTGTATGATCACTTTCTTATCAAGTGTTAGTGAAATGCGTCAATTTCTTTGTTCTTCCATATTCATATGTCAAGATCGATTAAATTCTTATATCTTTTTCGAATTTGAAATGGTATTTCGATAATTTAAAATTATATAGAACATATCATTATATAGGCAAAGGCGTATCTAGGTTAAGGGGTATGAGTTCACGTGAACCCATACTCCTCTCTCTAAACCATGTATAACAATATCATATTTCTTCAAAATTATTTAAATATATGTGTGTGCGTATCTATGCTCAAAGACTTCTATGGTGCAATTATTATTGGGTGCACCTCTACAAGTGACATTGGCAGTTCAAATCCCACTCCAAACGGTCTTGTTTTCAGTACAGAGTATAGATATATATGTGAAACTTACTAAAATTTTAAAAAGAATATAATTTTGAACCTATAATTTCAAAAGTGTAGTGAGTTCATGGTAAGAGACTAAAGTTAAATCCGTGAAGTGTAAATTCTAGATCCACCTCTTCATAACAGTGCACTCACCCTTTTGAAATCCTGGATCCGTCTCTGTATATTGGTTCATATTTATTTTTATGTTTAATTATTTAATTCGGTTAACTTTAAAAGTGTACATCAACGTAAAATTATTGTCATGCGACTAAAAAATAACTATCATGTGTTATTAAGAAAATTCATGCATAAAAATATTTTAATAGATCGTATATTTGTTTACTAAACATATATTTACTTATCAAAATTTAATAAAGTAAAATTTCAATAATATTCATATAACAAAAAATCCTACAAAATCAAACAAATTCAAACCGATATATAATTTGTTTGATTTGATTTCGTACGCCCTAGTCGCGCCCTATAGTATCTATAACCTAGTGCGTAGAAATTCGTTGAAAAAACAAGCATGATATATCCAGGCATGATTCCTCTGAAACCATAACTAGAGTCTAGAGACATCATCAACGAGCATATACAAAATAGTGGAATATGATGTCTATTACTATATATTATTGGTTCGAGTCAGAGTTCCATAAGGCCAAAAAGGAGAAACTTTCCATCCTTTTTGAGGTTCGTGTAAATCTCTCATCATGACTTCAAATAAGGTACATAATTTATTAATTTCCTTGTCACCTTAGTTACGAACTATAGGAAATCATATACATAACTATAGATATCAATCTTGGTTTCGTATATTTTCTTGTCTGGTCATATACATAACTATAGATATCAATCTTGGTTTCGTTTCATTTTCTTGTCTTGTCAATTGAGACATGCGTGCTTGCCTTTTCTAGTCACTGAATCAATCTTACTTTTTTTCTCTTTTGTCTTATTCTTTGATAAGCTTTTATCCGTTAAAAATGTTGTTGTCATGTATTGGCCATGATGTATTTTAAATAACGAATTTCAACTTTCATTTGTCCCTCCAACATTCTACGATCAACAAGAAGTTGGAGGATTGAGTAGTAGCTCAACAACAACAACCATCCATTAAATCCCACCAGTGGGTTTGCGGAGGGTAGTGTGTACGCAGACCTTACCCCTACCCCGAGGAGTAAAGAGTCTGTTTCCGAAAGACCTTCGACTCAAGAAAACAAAAAGTGACAATATCAATACCACCAACATATACTTAGTGGTAGCTCATAGATAGCCAATGAATTTGACTAGAAAATTACCACCTAAGGCCGTGGTTGGATATATAGGATTCTTTCACCCTAAAAATCAAATATTTTGAGTTCAAATATCGGAATCGTTTCCCCTTTTTATGGGCCTTTCGAGACCGCACAACAAAAACATTGGGCGAAAAACCAAAAAAAAGAATCGAGTAGAAAAATAGACCTATAGCTCATTCATAGAGATGTTTTATGTTTCTCCGGTACAAGTATCCTTTTTTCTATATCTTGTATTGGAAAAAAAAAAAGTGGGGGGGGGGGGGGGGTGCGGAAGATTAAAGATATGAAGAAGGAAAGGAACAACAACCGAGTTGAAACAAAAGATAAAACAAATAAATTTAGTTTTTATCATTGGCAAGTTACATTATATTATTTATCCTCTCTTCTGCAATAAACGTATTAAATAACACGTAGTTGACATTTAAGTATCTTGATTATGTAAATATTCTTTATATTTAGAATGAACTCATAAGAAAATGATCTTGTTTGATAGCAGTTTCTGCATATCTTCTTGATAATTCTACCTGTAGCACTAAGATTTAATAATAATTTAACTTTAATTATCAAGAATACATGGAATAAGTAGACTTCTATGAACATAGTTTGGTCGTAAATTCAAGAATTCGAGCATAACCCTAAGGCATGTACTAACACACTTTGCATAAAAGAAAATGACTATATTCCTATTCTCAAAACACGAATAATCTCATCAATGTCAATTGACAACCTTCATATAGACAGAAAGGTCTGAGAAGAGTTAAGGATGTCTGCAATTATGTTACTATAAAATGCTGATTTTCCTAATACCATCTTCTTCTTCTTCTTCTTCTTCTTCTTCTTTTTGGTAATTTAATACCATCTTCTTTGCTTCTGCTGATTTTCCTAATAAACTACCTTAATGGTATCTGACATTTGGGAGGATATTCTAGCTCCTCCTTTTCCCAATTTAGTTTAGAAGCAATGTTTTCTTGGCTGGGAGAGTACTCCTGCAACAGAATATATGTCCATAAAGAGTCGAAAACAACAAATACGCGTCAGTCCCAAACAAGTTAGTCAGTGAAACATAATATTTACCTCGAGTTTATTCATAAGTTCTTTGGCAGTAGGGGCAGATACAAAAATTTGGCGCGCGTTAGGACAGACAAAACCTTCCTCCACAGCTTTGCCAATGAATGTCAAAAGGGAATTGTAGTAACCATCAACATTCAATAGTCCTACTGGTTTATCATGGATTCCAAGTTGAGCCCAAGCTATAACTTCAAGAAGTTCTTCTAAAGTTCCATAGCCACCTTAATCATTGCAAATATTTTTTTTCATTAATTTGGGCTAAGTAAAAATATTAGCACACAATGGTACAACTTTTAACCTTCAAAGAAACACTAAGACAACCTACTTTTACTGTTTCAGTTTGAAGTTAACAACCACAAGTTCTCTTTGGAAAAAAAGCATTCAGTTGAAACTACAGTACTGCACTTGAAAGGACCAATTTAAGCCCTCAAAGTAAGTTGAAATTAACATCAATTCAGTTAAAGTTTTTGGATTAACTATTTATGGATTTAACTTATATACATTGACATTGTGATTGAAAGGGGAGCCTTGGCGTAACTGATAAAACTGTTGTCATGTGACCAGGAGCTCACGCGTTCAAGCCGTGGAAACAGCCTCTTGCAGAAATGCAGGGTAAGGCTGCGTGCAATAGACTCTTATGGTCCGGTCCTTCCCTGGACCCCGCACTTGACTGCTTTTTTTTTTTACATTGTCATATTTCTTTTGCAAGATCAGTCTATTTTAACATATTATAGTAAGTCCAAAGAAAGAAAGAAAAGATAATGTGGTGAAAAATGGGCAAGAATCTTGGAAAGGAGAATGAGAACAAACCAGGTAAAGCAATAAAAGCATCAGAATGTTTGGCCATCTCTGCTTTTCTCTGGTGCATATCTGCAACCGCTTTCACCTCTCCCACTGTTTCACCACTATCTGCAGACCGTACACCACTATTATTAGTCTTTGCATAACAGAAAGAATCAAGTCAATGCAAATATACCCACATACCAAGTCAATCCAAACCACTAAAAACTTAGCTACTCCACACATAAAGTGAATATCTCAATAAAGGATTGGTAGGGGTCTCTTCTTTAACACATAGGATGGGGCAAGTACATTAAAAAGACAGTCCGGTGCACTAAGCTTCCGACATGCGTAGTGTTCGGGGAAAGACAGAACTTTAAGGGTCTATCGTACACAATCTTATCCTGCATTTCTGCAAGAGGTGGTATCTCTACTCCTCGAATGCGTGACCTCTTTATCACATGACAGTAACTCTACCAGTTACGCTAAGGCTCCCCTCATAGGTTAAAGGACATAGTCATAGCAAATTTTGCACATAATGTAACAATAGTAGGACAAAATTGGAAGAATATAAAATGGAACAAAATGACAAAGAGAAAGAGAACATAAAGGAGATGATGAGGTTTCTAACTTCTAAAGCCTTGCTCTCATCTCGGGGAACTGATGTGAGGGCTAGGCAATAAGTGTCACTCCCTATATCATTACATTGTTTAATTTGAATATCCATTTGATTAGAAAACTTTAAAATGGACCATGACATGCTAAATCCACCAATATTGTGGGGGATTAGTGGAGGACTCAACATCGCTGTGGTCAAGCTGTATAGTAGTAAAATTTGTTCGAGCTCTATGCACTAACAAATACATGTAAATTTATATGATACACATTAATTGGTAACGACCAATTATAATAGGTTAAACTATACTGATGTGTAAAAAAACAAATCTTTACACAGTTAATGCAAAAAAAAAGGCAGTCTGGTGCACTAAGCTCCAGCTATGCGCGTGGTGCGAAAAATGGCCGGACCATAAGGATTTATTGTACGCGCCTTACCTTTCATTTCTGCAAGAGGCTGTTTTCCCGACTTGAACTTGTGACCTCCTTGTCACATAACAATAACTTTACCAGTTACACAGTTAATATATATAACTTAAATTCTTTAAATGGTACTTATTGTTTGATTCTTGTGAAATTTGGTGCAATTGTAAATTTATGAACATATTATGGTATTTTAGGATGTAGAAATACATGTACAAGAACATCGTACTACTGATTTAGCTTTAGCTCATTTATCTTTTCTTTTTGATTTGATGTCTAAAGTAGCAAGAGGACCCTATCTTCGTACAATGAGGGGGACCAGAAGAAAGGAAAAGGAAAGGAAGAGGACAAAGAAAGGGATGGATTTTTTAAAGAGAAAAATGGCAAGCAAATTAAACCACAAACTACCAAACTAAGTACTAACAAAAATCCCATCTTGCACTTTAGGGATATGCCCATGCCGACAATTGCAAAAACCATGTCCAAAGATAATAAAGGTGAGGTAGAAATTCAACCTACCACACGATTGAAACACACTACAATTCAAAAGAATAAGAACCAAAAATGGAGTACTAAATATCTTTGTTTCTCCTTTCTCTCCTCTCTTATGCAAAGTAATTTCAGAAAGAACAAAATGGAAGGATTAAAATAGTGGTAATATGATAAAAGGCATACCTCTCTAGGCATGAGAGTCCTTGGAATTACCCTGGAGACAAGAACATGATTAAAAAAAAGATAGTCAGGGACCCAAAGGTGTGATTAAAACTAACTATAGTTAACAGAGGTGATCAGTCCAATCAATGTCAAAACTAAAAGCAAGCGGTTCACATTTGTGCTTTCATGTTCATTCAGGTTAAAAAGGAAATATATAAGTAAGAGAACTAATTTATATACACATTAATATCGCAAATATTTAAATATTTTAGACGAGCAGTGTATATTAACTGTCACAATAGATAATGACGAGTACTTTTTTTTAAAATTTACAAATCTCACTTTTTAGTATGTGATCTAATAGTGTAAAAATGTGTACGAGTTTAGCACTTGCAAAGGCATAACTCACCCAAGGACATGACGACCACCGTTGTAAACAGCTTGAGAGACCAAACCCATTAAACCAATGCTTCCTCCTCCATAAACTAGGTCTATGTTTCTTGATACCTTGTATATAAGCAAAACTAGTAATGTTAGAAAGCTGAAGTGGACATCACACGTAGTTCTTTATAATTTTAACCAGGAAAGCTGGGGTGGGGTGGGTAATATATTTAAAACTGGCCCTTCAATTCCTAAATATTACTTAATACCACTTAAGGGAGCCTTGACGTAACTGGTAAAATTGATGCCATGTGATCAGAAGGTCATGGGTTCGAGCCGTGTAAACAGCGTCTTGCAGAAATACATGGTAAGACTTCATACTATATACTCTTGTGGTCTAGCCCTTTTTCCGAATCCCGCGCATAGCGGGAGCTTTGTACACCTAGCTACCCTTTTTTTACTTAATGACCACTACTTGCATAGCATCAAAGAAAATTTTCAAGAATGCTCTTTTCAGGTACAGAACCTTCAGAATGAATTCATAAGAAAGTGATCAATCAAGACTCAAGGTTCTCAGTTTTTCATGCAAGAAAATAACCCCTTAAGCTAAATTACATGCATCATTATCTGTGTGAGGGGGGGTTGTGGCTATGTCCTCCTAGTTATAATATAGGAAATAAAAGTATATGTGGAACAATTAATCCATTCTTCTTCAGAGTTAATCCATAGTTTCCAAAATTTGGCAAAGGTACTCCCTCAGTCCCATTTTATATTTGACTCGACACGGAGTTTAAGAATAAAGGAAAGATTAGGACAGAGGGAGTAACAACAACTAGAATTAGATGCAGAGTTGGAAACAGAGGAAAAAACAGAGCATTTTGTCTCACCAATTCTTTCCCAAGCTCAACTGCAGCATCCTTATAGCTACTCTTCTTTCCAGGACTACTCCCACAAAACACACAAATTTTCTTGAACTTTGACTGCATAATTTCCTTCTCCATCTCCATTTTCTTCTCTATAACTTCCTTCCTTAATTTTCTATTTGTGATTGTGGTTGCTTAATGCTTAACTGCTTGGCTTGCTGGTGTGTATATATTGGTGTTAGTGATAGTGGCCTTTTTGTAGTAAACCTCCAACACTACACCCCACCACACTTTGGGGGGGGGGGGTGTAGGGTCCATTGGAGGGTAGTATGCAAATATCCATTCATTCAGACAATACCTTCCCATACCCTACTTCAACTTTGACAAGTAGTACTAGTACTTAGTATTCTTGAAATTTTCTTACTAAATTGTCACGTGTGCCTACAAAATTTGCATTCCATATTGAGTGTTGGCAAAATGAAGCTTGACGCGCTTAAATCCACATCCACTCACATTGCTCTCAAGTATCTATTCCTCCCTAACCTTACCCTTAAGTGCATTACTCAATTGCCCCTTACCTGCCAAAAATATGGATCTTTTAGGCGATCTTCTATTCCATCTCTTAAATCTACTTAGTTACCTTTTCGCTACCAACCAAGAGGTTGTGAGTTCGAGTCACCCCAAGAATAAGGTGGGGAGTTCTTGGAGGGAGAAAGCCGAGAGTCTATCGGAAACAGTCTCTCTACCCATTTGGTAGGGGTAAGGTCTGCGTACACATTATCATCCCCAAACACCACTAGTGGAATTATACTGGATTGTTGTTGTTGTACCTCTTTTGTGCAAAGAAACAAACACCTCAACTGCCTTGTAAGTGAACTTAACATTTCTAGCATTGTTAACTATAGGTTCACGTTTCGTACTACTTGTGATCTTCAGTTCTAACTCCATGTGAGGTTCTTGAAACTTTAAGTCAAGCAGGTCGATAGGACTTTTCCAAATGAAGTGCTTTTACTTATTACTCCCTCGTTTTAATTAAGACGAGAGAGTCAAACTGTGAAGTTTGATCAATATTTTAAAATAATTTTTTTACCATATTGACATGAGAAAAATTATACTTTTCATATAATTTTTAAATATTTAAATTTAAATTTTAAAATATTAAGTTAACCTAATTCAGTTTAGTTTCAAAGTTTAGTCAAATTGACTCTCGATAAGCGAAATATGTCATCTAAATTGAAACAAAAGGAGTAGTAAATTTACATAATGTGAATCCAAATTAGTCAAATAGGTTGATTTCAATACACAATGAAAGGCAGCTTAGTGCCTAAGTTATTTCGCATTCACATAGGATCAGGAAGGGCCGTGCATTAAGGGGTGTGACATAATATCCTAATATAAGCATTAGTGTTTCCACGAAATTTCAATACCTAATGGTTAAATTAAAAAAAAAAAAAAAAAACAATAA